TGCAGACCACTGAAGGTGACTATTAGAAGCAGCCTGAGTAAATCTTTGAAAATCCCCAGTAGCTTTCAGGGATGAGGTGGGTGTGCCAGATGGGCTGTGCCTTTACTGGGTTGCAATGTTTCCTAGGAAATTCCATCAGGATTTCTCACTGTTTGTGACTACAAGTCAGTACCTTTGTGGAAAAGGCTACTTCTGGTGGGTAGTGGCTTAGTAGTGCTTTAGAGCAGATGGGTAATGGCTGCCCTGAGCTCCTGAGTGCAAACTGTAGGAAGCAAATCTTGGCATGCACACAGGATGGAGCTCCTGTCAGTTCCTCCACGCTGAGCAGGGAGGTTTCTTTGGGGAGAGGCACAAGGCTACAGGAAAGGGTGAGTGGTCGTTGATAACTTGGTTTTCTCTTTGAGTTTTGCTGTTTGGGGGTGGGGACAGTTGTTGCAAAGGCATTGGCTGAAAAATAGTCTGGAAGCAGGGGGATAAGATGTAGGGATGGAAAGAAGGGAAATGGATGCAAGGAGAGATGGGGAGAGGGAAGGATCAAGCTGGGAGAGGTGAAGAGGTTACAACAGGATTCAAAATCTCTGGCATCCAGCTTTACCATGCAAGAATGTCTTCTAGATAGCAGAGTACTTAAAATTTTAATTTTAAAAAAGTATTAATTCTTGCTCATTTCTCTGTCAAGTTCAGAGCAGTTTCTCCTCGGCCTCTACCTGTTCCTTCTGATGTGACCCCAAAGACAATCCAGAGGGGTGCAGAGCACCCTGAGCCTGCAGATAGTGCCAAACCCAGCCAAGCAGCCATTCCAAAGGTTAGTGATGAAAACTGTTTCTGCTGGTTTTTGTCTCATTGCTTTTGAGGAGTTTGTTCCATGTGTGTGCACAGTGAGTAAAATGTTTGGTAGCTTCCTGTCTCGTGGAAGCCCTGCTCAGTGTGGGATGAGCCTTGCTGAGCCTTGGAGGTCAGCAGCCCCTTTTCTAGAGTTCAGATTGGTCTCATTGAAGACAGTTTCATAATAAATAATTAAGCATTAAATAATAGCTCTGTCTCCCATATCAGTCCAAAAGGATTTTTTGCTTAATAGGTGATTAGAAAACAAAAGCTATAATGGTGATTGCAAATTAAGATCAAATTAACTTCCTTTGAAGGAGCGGCCCTTGTCAGCCAGAGAACGAAGGAGGCTGAAACAGTCTCGGGAGATGCTTCCCTCTGGTAATTTTTATGTTTATATGTTAATAGTTTATGTATAAGTAGGCTAATAACTTTTTTCTGAAGAAATTATAATTTCTTGTCTGTTCTTCACTGCCATCTTCAGAACAGTGCACTAAGGGGCTAGTTCTGTGTTAAATAAAAAGTTCTGTTAACATGTCTGTATTTTTCTGCTTTTTAGTTATGTCCAGTTGTGTTCAGTGTTGACAACTTGTCTTTGAAATGTACATGAAATGTAGAATATTCACTTTTGAACAGAAGCTTCAATGTTTTCTATTAGCAAAATACCTACCTCCCTGCCTGCCTTCTGCTAGGTGATAGATTTTTTTCTTGCATGAGCATGAAACTAATTCAGAATACACACAGCTTAGCTGTAAACATTGTGAAAATGTCATCCTTCCAGTGGTTCCAGCAAGACAGTCATTAAATGGTGCAGCAGTTGAAGCAAAGTCACATGTGGAAAATTGTGTTAACGTTCCTCAGTCCTCATCAGATCCCAGTATTTCTCAGGTAAACTTTGTCAGAAGTATTTCTTCCATGTAGGAGCAGTAATATATTCATATTGCTCAATTACTTTCAACTATTAGAATTCTTGTTATTTATTCCCTCTTCCCTTAGAGAAAGAGAGAAGCCCATTGCCTGTCTGATGATGAGCTAAGCTCTTCCACAAGCTCTACAGAAAAGTCTGATGGTGATTCCAAGGAGAAGTAAGGATTTTCTTTAATACTGTGCAAGAATTTTCACTGCTATACTGGACCTTGACTTGGAGTGGACAAAAAAGGCTTTCACACTTTATCTCTGCATAGTGAGTGGTGGAAGAAGTGTGTGATGCATAGAGGAAAACAGCCCCATTGAATTATTGTCTCTCTGTGACTACACTTTCCATGCTGAAAGTGTGTCTACACTTTCCATGCTGTACTTTCTGGGTTGTGGAATTGTATACTTCTGGGTTTGTGTTTTCCCAGGAAACCAATCTTCCAGCACCAAAGGACATCTGCTGTCAGGATGCATTAAAAGCACAAGTTAAAAGGTGCCAATGTGCTTCCTTTCCACTATAAAAGAGGCTGAATTTATCTCTAATTTTTGTCAGTGTAATCAGCTTTCAAAATATGCAATTTGTTGCATTACCAGAGGCACCAGTAGCCAGTAGGATTGCTGGGTTTTTGCTGGGATCTGAGCCTTTGTTAAATGAAATAGTACTGATGTTGCTATTGATAAAACTGCACCACAGCTAGGAATTTAACATGGAGTACTTACTAGGACCTGAACAAGCTCATTGAAAGCCCTTGGAATGCAGGGTGGAAGTTGCATTGTGATGGTGACTGAATTATTTCTTCCTTCTCTCCTAGGAAAAGCAGTGTGAATGAAATGAATGACTTGGTGCAGCTGATGACGTGGACACTGAAGATGGACTCCAAGGAGAACTCTGAGTGCTGTGTAACCTCGACCCCAGCCCCAGAGTTTAAACTTCATAGAAAGTATCGAGATACTTTGATTCTGCATGGAAAATCACCTGATGAATCAGAGGAATTAAAATTGGAAGGGATTCCTTCAGGTCTGTTGCTCTGGGATTCTGTGATAATACTTAGAGTTGTCCCACGTTCTTCTGCAGAATATGAAAATTGTCTGTACTGAAAGTAATTAGTACTGCACTGATTTTTTTAATTGTGTTTTAATAGATATGTCATTGGTCCCTTACAAGATTAGGAGAATGGTTGAAATCCTGAGATCTGATGTGGTGCAAGGACTGGGGGTGAAACTTCTTGAGAAGGTGTACAGAATCATGGAAGAAGATGATGAAGCAAAAAGAGAGGTGAATGTCTTCCATAATAAAATAATTTCTTTATAAACATAAATAAATTAGCAGGCTCTTTATCCTGTTGAGATAGGGTAAACCTTGATTCCAGAAAGTCTTTATGTAGTCATGGGCAGGAAAGGACCTAAGTATATTGTAATTTTCATGCTTAAGTTTGATTCTAGATGTAGACTATGTTCAAATGCAACTTCTTCAGAAACCATCAGAGCTTTAGAACTGTACCATGGGGAAGATATGAGGGATGCAAATAATTTTATTCTGTTAATATGTTAGCATAATTTTATGCTGTTTTTCCAGTAATAATTTCTTCTGTCTCAAATGTTTGCCTTCACATTACTTTCCTTATGCCCTTTATGCCCAAAATAAGAAATAATTTGACGTCAGTCCCCAAATAGAGGTGAATAAGGAATACCTCCAGGTCCTGATTCAAAACTTAGTTACACTTACCCAGGCAGTATTTGATTTGTAACCTGTGAAGATCTTAAATTTTTGGGAGGGATTTGAAAATCTCTTGCTTTTAGACAACAACAGTGTTCATTTTATTTCTCTCTCATCCACATTGCCAAGCTTCACATGCTTCTTTCAGCTGAGTGCTGAAAGATTTTACTGTTAATATTTTGGTAGCATCTGCTTTTTTTCAATGCCAGTAAATGTGGGTTTTGTTCTGTGTGTGCTGTAAACAGCTGCAGTTGCGGGAGCACATGGGAGACAAGTACGTGAGTTACAGTGCGAAGGCTCGGCACCTGAAATTCCTCGAAGAAAATGTGAAGCTCTGACCAGAATCTTTTCCTTGGAGAAAAGAACTATTTTCTAGCTCCTTTGATAGACTGGACCAGCTTACAAAGCATGTTCATCTGCTGATCTCCTTTGCTGGAATAGGAAGGTGAACTTGCAGAAAATGTTAGAGTTCATAGTAATATTTTTCATGTTAAAATGTGAACCAGGCTATCACTTTCTCAGAAGAGAAACTGTTTAGTTTAGTTTTTATTCTCTTAAAAAGTGCTTTCCATAGATGCAAATAGGTGTCGATACCAAGTTTTGTATACTAAGGAGTGTAAAAAAAAAAATAATGTTCTGGTTTGAATTTGTCATAGCAAAAGGTTTTTTGTATGGTCTCATACCAAATACAGTAACAAAATCTCTGCCAAGGCTTTGATGTGATAAACTCTAATCTATTACATCAGATAGTTGTGAAAATTTAGCATGAAGAGACAATTACTAATTTTTGTGGAACTAAAGGTCCTCAGGTTGTGTAAATTGCCAAGTCCAAGTGCTGAAGGGGGTGGCCATACTGCTTGGAAAGAGAGACTTTGGTCTTGTGTTTTGTTGCTGAGGCAGTCACCAAGGTGGGGGAAAGCATTTGGTATCTGGATAAAGTAAGTCTGAAAATGTTTGAAAGGAATGCAGCCATGGTTACCATGGTTCCAGCTGGAGAAATCCCTTTGCCTTAAAAATCATAATTCCTTTTAGGAATGAAAGTGCCCAAGGCCAGAATCTCTTAGGAAAAAGATAAAACACTTATTTCTCTTTGTTTGCATCCAGAGCGTCTCGCTACAGCCCCCAGGCATTGTTGTGTACCATACCTACAGGAAAAGCACATGTTTTTTTAAATAATAAAGAAGTCAAATGGAATTGAATTTGTAAAATAAAATTATAAACCTGTCTCTTTTCCTGCTTGTAGCTGAAATACTGTAACCTCCAGCAGCTGTGAGGGAGCTTACTGATATGACAGTAGTAAAATAAAATGCCATACCTATGGATCCTGCTGCCTCTCACACACTACATGCTCAAGTTACAGTTTCAAGAGCTATTCTTACTTGTTCTTCCCAGGGAAATTTATTTTAAACAAAAACTGGCCCTCTGTATCCTCCTATCTTAGAACAGTTATTTTCAGAACTGTGGGGTATATACCATTTCACGGTATTTGTTACAACCTGGAACTACTGACAGCTTGTTTTACACACAGTTAGAAACATTCCAGTACAAGTTCTGCTGTTTATTAATCTTTCAGGCTATGGCATCAGCTTAACTAGAATTCATTTGATTCACTGTGTTCCTTTTCAGTGAAATACTCAAGATGTGACCTCCAGTAGTAGCCTTCTGAAGTTAATCCCCCCCATCCCTGTGTTCCCAGTGACTCCCCTGAAACTCCAGACCCAATTTCCAGCCTTCATGCTCCCTGCAGAGCTTGGTTGTACTCATAGTAATATACAAAGTACTAGGAAAAAACCCAAACACTAAGCCAGGAAGTATTTCTCCATGGAAATTAATTTAACAAAATTTAACAAACTAACAGCCTGGAAACTGTAATATCTAGCTTTTAGAATGTCTCTTTGGCTTCCTGTCTGCTGCCTTCTTCTCTTCCGTGCCCGACTCCTGGACAGGCAGCCACTTGAGGGGATTGCGGCGGTACATGGGCCACGGAGGGAGCGTCAGCTGAGGGCAAAGGAGGGCAGTCAGAACATGGACACTGAGTGCTGAGGAGCTGTTCTGTACAGCTCCTCAGGAAAATCTTCATCCCTAACTAATTATCCATTAGTCCTTAAAAAACTCTTACAATTTCATATACAATTACAGTTTACATTGCAAAGTCATGCTTAAGTATGTGACTAAAGCACCCCAGGTTGTTCCAAGGATGGGGACAGCACCCACCCTGAAGAAAAAAGGACTCCTGAGGTGACACCAGCATTGCCAGCACCTCCCACACTGCACTGAGACCCTGTCCTTGCCTGGCATCATGGGTAAGTAATTCAGGGATGTTTAAGTAAGGAGCAGATGGATGACTATGCCAGAGAATTACAGGGGCTTTTCAAAACAATGGAATGTGTGCGTGTCCTGAGTAGTGATTGGTCAAATTGTGTTGTATCTGAACTCTTGAGAGGTCTAAGAACCATGTGTAAAACAGGACTGGGAGTGCCCCAACAGGAATGGGACACCTCTCATGCATGGATAAGGAATTACTCCTGAAATTCCATATTCTGCTTCCTTGTCTCCTCAGGCAGCAGGGGACAGCTGCAAAATTGTCATGACAAGCTGCTACTGCACAGAAAGCTTCCCTGTCCTTTCTGTTACTAATGCTGTCAGCTGGACTTACTCTAACTTTTAATTGAAATGAAAAATGAACTCAAAAGTGGTATTAAATTGCAAAAATTCCGCTAGCATTTCAGGAAAAGCACTTAATGGGCTGCAAAGGACTTTATGCAGATCAAAGGAAGTACAAATATGTATTTGTAAATCTGAGTTGCATAGCAAACATTAGTCTGTGCTGACAGCCCCTCAATTTAGCAATTATTCCAGATTAAACTGCAAGTATTTTTTGGTTTGGGGAAAAAATATTCTTACCAAACATGATAAAGCAAATCCAGCCATAACTATGTAGACAGTCCATCCAAACTGTTCAGTGATGTACCCATAGATGAAACCAATTACCTGGAAAAACAAACATTTAAAAAATTCAAACTTTAAATGAAGAAAAATATTTCCCATTACATGACGAAGATGCAGGGGGTGGATTTAGGTAGGAAAATATAGGTTTTCAAAAGCATGTACATCTCTCAAACCTTTTCAAAAGTGCAGGCCAACAATGAAAGTAAAAGTTTTAATCCTCTGACTTTGTTTAAAGCTTTTAGTGACCCCAAACAATAAGAAAAATATTTATAAGAACAGAAAATAAAATAGTCCTTTTTGTTCTCACCTACAGGTCTATTATACTTACTGCAGAGACAAGAATGATTCCTTGAAAAATCTGTTCTGCTAATTTTTGGCCCTTGTAGTCCTGTGGAAAGAGAACTTTTTAGTCAGTTACTCAAAACACAGACCTGCCCACTTAACTCTTTCAGGTTAGATCCTACAGTCTACCTGACCATGGGTTCTCAGCGTTTTTGTTCAACTTTCAAACCAGATTGGAATTATTTTTCTTACAGTGGCTGAAAACACCTCCTCTGCAGGCTTGACCACATCACCTAGAAACAGAAGCAAGCACTGTCTGATCAGGGTAAGTAATGCAAGTTCAAAATACTGTAGTCACCTTAACATCACTAAGTAAAGCTGTATCACCACAGAAGAGGCTGTGCCCGAGAGGGCACGGGGTGTGTGGCACCTGTGTTCTGGACAAGGCTGACAAATAAATGTCTCCAGGGGGGTGCCAACAGGATGGTGCCAGCCTCTCTTCAGTGGTGCCCAGCGCCAGGATGAGGAGCAATGGCCATAAACTAAAACACACCAAGTTTTACCTCAACAGAAGGAAGAATTTTATGTTGAGGATGGCAGAACACTGGGACAGGCTGCCTATGGGGGGGGAGTCCCTCTCTCTGGAGACACTCCAAATCCACCTGGATTCATTCCTGCTCCAGGTGACCCTGCCTTGGAGGGTTGGACTGGGTGATCTCCAGTGGTTCCTTCCAAACCCAAGTAATCTATATTTGCATGACGTTAGAAAACGCGGCTCTGGGAGCACACGCCGCCTTCTGTCCTTCTACAGCAGAGGCAGGAAAGCACAGAGGGGCTTCCCGTACACAGACAGCTTCCTTTTACAGCATGAGACTCCCAGCTCGCAGGTCACAACCCGGAATTACGTGGGTTCATCCTGCATCCCCCTCGCCGTGCCTCGTACACGGCTGCCAAGATCGGGCAGGGGCCGCGGAGCCGGCAGTGCAGGGGACAGTAAAACCCGCTCCCGGCCGTGTCGCCGTGCGTGCAGGGGACAGTAAAACCCGCCCGGCCGTGTCGCCGTGCGTGCAGGGGACAGTAAAACCCGCCCGGCCGTGTCGCCCGCAGTGCAGGGGACAGTAAAACCCGCCCGGCCGTGTCGCCGTGCGTGCAGGGGACAGTAAAACCCGCCCGGCCGTGTCGCCGTGCGTGCAGGGGAGAGTAAAACCCGCTCCCGGCCGTGTCGCCCGCAGTGCCCCGGTGCCGAGGCCCGGGCGGGCCCTACCATCTGCGTGGGGATGGAGCGGAACACGCTCAGCATGGCGGCGGCGCTTCTCCGGCTTCTTCCCGTTCCTCTTCGCAGCCGTCTCCACGCTCCCGGGCGGGGCTCTGCTGTTCGCGGGGCGCACCGCGGCCTCTCCGCTGCTACCGGCGCTCGTCGCGGCCGAGCGGAAGGCGGCTGCTGAGCTGGCCGGAAACACGCCCCGGCCGCCCCGCCCAGAGCTCCGTCGGCCGGGGGTGCCGCCTCCAGCCTCGGCCATCGCCTCCGCGCCGCCGCCGCCGCTCCGGGGCTGCTCCGCTCCCGCTCCCCCCCGCTCGTCGGGACGCATCTCCTCGGCAACGGCGGCTTCGCCCTGCAGGACCCCGGCGGAGGCGCCCTCCCCGGCAGGTGCGAGGTGCCGCGGAGCCGCCTGTCGGAAACCCGCACTGATTCGGCAGCTCGCGGGCTGCCCTCCCGCCCCAGCCTCGGGCTCGTCTCACGGAGCCGTCGGGCGCCGCCGCGGCTCCGGTGTCGCGGCGGGGTGGGCGCGGCGGAGGTTCGGCGCCCGGCGGAGGTCAGGCACCTGGGCGGGCAGCCGCGGGCCGCGCGCTGCCGCGGTGGCGGCGCGGGCGGACGGTCCGTGAGGGGCCGGGACGCCGCGGGCGGTGCGGGAGAGCCGGGCACGGGCCCGCCGGCCCCGGAGCGGGGCCGTGCCCGCAGAGCAGCCCGGGGAGCGCGGTGTGCGCTGCAGGCAGCCGGCGGAGCGGCGCGGTGTGGGTTTTATTGTTGTCCGTGAGCATCCCTGTGCACGGGACGTTGTGTCACTGTCCCCAGCCCGGCTGCCGCGTGTCGCTGAGGCTCCCGCCGCGTCCGTGCGCGCCTCAGCCCCGGCGCTGGCAGCTGCAGAGCGCTTCTTGCACGGCGGGACGTGGCGTTGTGCTCCCAGGCAGAGCTCCGTGTCCCGCCCCGTGCCAGCAGTGCGGTGCTGCTCGGAGCGCTCGGGGCAGGGATTTGTTGGGCTCCGCTGATGTGTCTGCCCTTGGGGAGAAATGCAGCAGCGGGAAGAAGGTGGTTCCGATACACGTAACAGTCACAGCGCAGTCTGAGGTGTTTGAATTCAGGGATTTCGCAAGTCTCTCACCTTTTCTGCAATTTTGCGTGTTGTTAAGGAGCTTTCTGTGTGTCATTTGACAGCTCCTTCACGCGGCAGGATACCCAGCTCTTGTTCTGATTTCGCCTCGACCCTTAAATAATGAACAAGCGTTTTTTAATTTCTTACCGAAATAGCATTGCTGTTGTGTTTCTACCCCCTTCTATAACATGATGGTACTGCCTTCCTTCCCGCTGTTTTTTTTTTTTTTTCCAGTTCAGATAGTTAAATAAATAGTTGCCACAGTAAAGAAGACATACATAATTTTCCAGATCTTTCAGATTACTTTTGGCTGGAAGAAGGAGTTTGGCCTTTTTCTGTCAGTGTAGTGGCAAGATCTGCATGTCTCCTTTTTTTCTCTGAGAGCTTCTTTAGATATGTCATTGTCGTGGGGGGGTCCCTAACATGAGAAGGACATGGACCTGTCAGAGTCCCTTCCAGTGCCTAAAGGGACTGGAGATGGACTTTGGACATGGGTATGGATGACAGGACAAGGGAGGATGGCTTCCAACTGATAGAGGACAGGTTTAAATGAGGTGTTGAGAAGAAATTCTTCCCTGCGAGGATGGTGTGGCCCTGGCACAGGTTGCCCAGAGAAGCTGGGATGATGTCTGTGCCCATGGCAGGGTTGGAACCAGGTGATCTTGAAGGTTCCTTCCAACCCAACCCATCCTGTGGTTGTAGTTAGGTACTTCCTGAGACCATACTCACTTTTTAAAATGTGACATAGAGTTTTATGTATGTCATAAAATTGACAGAGGGAAACACTCACTGCCTTTGACACTGAAACTTGTGACACTCCTGGTGATGGTGTGCTATGCCTCATGGAAGAATGCACTGGCAGTGACTGCTGTATTTTTTTCTTTCAGGTTTGCAGGAACCTTATGCTAATAAAATAAGAATAGAAAAATGACATTAAGGAAAGGTATGTGTATATGTGCTTGTCTGATTTTTTTTTAATTTGTTTTTTATCCAGGTTTCTCAGTTGTTCTCTGGTTATATTGATAAAGATTTTTCTTCTTAATTTTCAGTGAACATTTCCATCCTTATAGTGGCTGTTATCATATTTTTGCTAGTTATTCATCATAACTTCCTAAGCCTCAGTGACTTCTTGAGACGGGAATTGTCAGGTATGTTGTTTTAATTTTTAAAAATATATATATTTTTAAGATTTGATGGGAAAACACCTGCTCTGGTCAGACAGAACCTACCATGTGGTTTGAGTGAATGGGAGGGGGAAGTTAATGAGTTATATGCATGGCAGAGGGGACTAAAGGCAAGTGCAAACTACTGTAGCTCAGCCTTTTAATACCTTGTGCTGTGTGTGAATAAGTGTGGTTAAATGTGTGCAGTTTTCTGTAAATGTGGTGTTATTCTATTCATTAGCATCTCAGATTCTCAAAAGCTGATGCTCTGAGTGTTTGATACTGGCTCACTGTAATCCACACCTCAGCTCAGACATCTAAGTGTATAGCAGAAATAATTGAAGTGTTGGGAATTTTAGTGTGGTAATAATAATATATAATAATAAAGACAAGTATGTCATTTTTACTCCACAGATCCAAGTCCCTTAGGACTTCAGCCTATAGATTTCATTCCTGCAGCTCCCCAGAGGCTGGCAGATGAGAGGAATGACAAGGAGATTCCTGTGGTCATTGCAGCCTCGGATGAGAGGCTTGGAGGTGCAATAGCAGCCATGAACAGCATTTACCAGAACACGAGGTCCAACGTGGTTTTCTACATTGTTACTTTGAATGATACTGTGGATCACTTGAGGTAATGATCTTGTCACTGGATTCCCGCAAGGCGGTGAACTCTGTATTTCTGAGAGGAGAGCAAGCTGCCTTTCCCTGGAGCTGCACTCCCCTGACTCCCAGTCCCAGCAGCTTTTTGACAGGGCTGCTGTGGGAGTCCCACCATTCCTTCTGGTCAAGTTTCAGGGATGGAAAAGAAACATCTTTTCCAATGGGCTTATATCCAACCAGTGAGGTTGGAGTTTGTGGGTGGAAGGGTTGTAAAAGGTACTTCTCCATTTCATCTAAGCAATTCAAATGCTGGCAATCATGTTTCTCCATTTTTGTAGATTGTTCTTTGATCCTGTTATCCCCTTCTGTCCACACTGATGGTTTTGGGAGGGGCCTGTGCTAACAGGAGTGTATATTTCTATAAAGCAAGAAGTGACCTTGTACTTCCACCTGTCCCAGGTGTGCAGTTGCTGACCCTGGACTTGCCCCTGTGGCCACACAGGACAGCATCTATTACATCCCAGATGTGTTTGTTGGGCAGGGAAGTGAGTGGCCACATCCAGATCTGTGTCACTGTGAGCTGGATCTCCTGCTTTTCCCTTGACTTTGTCTCATCTAACGAGATCCGTGCCTTTCTCCTGCTTGCAGGACGTGGCTGAGGAGCCCTCCTCTGAAAAACATGAGATACCGAATTCTGGATTTTGACCCTCGTGTCTTAGAAGGCAAAGTACAAGTGGATCCCCAAAAGGCAGACAACTTCAAACCAGTGAGGATGATGCTGATTACTTTTTGCAATTAGTAGTTAATAACAATATATTTTGATGTTGGCTTTTGAAACCAGCTGGAAATCAAAACCAAATCTTTTAGCATAGAAGCAATATTTCATAATAAAATCTCTAAATTTCAGTAAAATTAAATATCTAGATAGTGAGAGATGGATTTGAATATCTACATATGCATGCCTAGGATAATTTTTTGCTGTTAGCCACAGTGAAACACCACAGCTGGCCTGTCAAGTATGCCATCACCTCAGAGATGCTGCAGATCTGTGTGGAGAAATAAGAAATTCTTATAGAGACCACTTTCAAAGCTAGTTTATCAATGCATACATTCATGGTAAACCAGGAATGGATGGAATCTATTTGTTTTAAATTACTTGTAGGATATTGCTGCCTATTTTACTTCCTCCACAGATGTTGTCTTGGACATTAATGCCATAGATAAGTGCCAGGAAAATCAGTCAATTTCACATTTATTTGGACAATTTTTTCATTTAATTCTCCACTTCTCTTGCTTTGCTGTTCTCACAGTTAACTTTTGCAAGATTCTACTTGCCCAGCTTTGTACCTCATGCAGAGAAGGTCATCTATGTGGATGATGATGTGATAGTGCAAGGTATGGGACCTTTGTTAGCTGCTGGCCTTATGTGAGGTCAGTATCTTATCTCTCACAGAACCCAAACATTTCTGTACAAACTTTGTGAATATGAGCAAATGGGGTAAACTGAGTAGCTTTATGTGCTGTAACAATGGACTGAACAAAGCCTAACTTGGCACTTATTCAGGATTGGTTTTGATTTTCCTGTGCTTGCTTCCATTTTCCAGATGATATTGTTGAACTTTACAACACTCCATTGAAACCTGGACATGCAGCTGCATTTTCAGATGACTGTGACTCAACCAGTAGTAAAGTTGTTGTCCGTGGAGCAGGCAATCAGGTTGGTTTTAGTCTTGTTCAGTGATAACAATACTGTAGATCTCAGGCATTTGGGAATGCTCCGAATGCTGAAACCTAAACATGTGACTTTCCCTGCCCAAACCAGATTTACAAATGGGACCTGCAGTTTCTGTTCAGGCACAGTGAATTACCTGGAATTTTTGCTGTGCTTTACATTGAGAGCAATTCTTGTTGTGGAAAAGCAGGAGGTCTGAGAACATCGAAGGGACAATTTTTCATTTTTGAATGTATAAAAAGTATTTTATCTGAGACTCCTACCATATTAATAATATGGTATTATTAAGACCATGCAGCATTCCTTAAAATATGTAGTCTATATAATAGTATTTTTTAAATGTTACACCTCTTAAGGTTGCTTTCTCTCATTTTAAAGGAAGGGATATTCACTATAACAACTTCAACTTACACCTGTCTGTTGTGAGTTGTTCAGAATTTTTCTTTAGCAATTTCCCCATATATTTTAAGCTAATTTCTATTTTCTTTCCCCCCCTCCCCCCCCCAGTATAATTACATTGGGTTTTTAGATTACAAAAAAGAAACCATCCGAAAGCTTGCCATGAAAGCCAACACCTGCTCTTTCAATCCCGGAGTTTTCATTGCCAATTTGACTGAATGGAAATTACAGAACATCACTAAACAACTGGAGAAGTGGATGGCACTTAATGTGGTGTAAGTACCCCAGGCTAGGGCTGGCAGCAGCTCAGACTTGGGTTCTGCTGGTGGCACGTCCCTCTTCAACGGAGGGCTGTGTGTATCTCTGCTGCAAGTGAAAAATC